GGAAGGTAACACAAACAACGCGACGCTGAACACAGGAAGACGGAGGACTTAACTACACACATGAGGTGATGAGGAGACACATGAGGACACAGCTGACTAGAATGAGACATAATGACAAAGGGCGAGTAAGACTAAACATGTAGTAACAAGAAACACAAGGTAAAAGTAAAACAGGAAACATGGAGACTAGACATGACAACACAAGCTTAACAGACCTAAAGCACAGATTGCTGCGGTCCTTTGTATTTTGCATAGAACATACCAACTTCTCTGCAAACTCTCACCAAATAGTAGTCAAGCAGCAGTAACAACAAGTTCAACATAATCTGGAAATGCAGACCATTCACCTTCAAAGTAAAAGCCCTGTCGCATTTTTTCCCAGTGAGCAATGGTTGTCAAATAGTAGGACTATGTAACTGAAGGCTTATTAATTCGACCCTACATGGTCACATGTCCAAAATGAGGGAAAAGCAAACATTAGCAATCACAACAGCTTGCCCGACTATCCTATGAAGCATACTAATTCATGCAATTTACTGTATCTTCTTATTTAGCTACATAAGTAACAGTCTATACAGTATATTCAGATATATGCTGCACTTGTTGTTGCACAGCTGCTTTCACTCTTTCTGCTTCCTGCTATAAGCTAATAACCTCAAAGCTTTATGTTCCTGAAGTACCAACATGAAAAAAAAACATCTCTCTATGCAGCGCTGGGAACAATCAAGTATCCAAACCAAGCATAATTATGGCGAAAGAATGGCTTCCGGATAATTTCTCTGATTTCAGCGACCCACACCATACTTTGCATTATATACATAATCAGTTCCAGAGTCAGTGAAATGTTTCCACGAAAGCTTTAATTTTAATTTTAATAGAAAACACCCACTGTTTCATTCTTTTGGCTATGTTAAGAAAAGCTCTCTATTAGAGGGTAACGTCCTCAGTCTGTGGCCTTGAGCTGCAGTTCACCTATCAATGTCATCCAGCTGCTTTTGACTGACAGGTAATTATATGGCGGTCACGTCCGGGCAAAGGAGACATGCGTTTATGTTGGGTAAGGGCTGTGACGCACAGATTGTTCCAGATCTTTGGCATAAAGGGGATTTTCTCCAAATCACATTATTGCTATTGGTTAATAGTACCAAGGGCGAGTGACGAGCCTCAGGCTTATACGGTGACCTTCTGTTATTGTAGAAGCCCCGCATAACCTTGGGTGCTGGTCAGACAGGTGTCTTGTTTTATTTTTATGGTCCCTCGCTGGGTAGTGCAGCGACAAATAAATGAGAACACATGACATTCAGTCCCAGTGTCTGCATGAACCTCAGTCAATGTGTCCTCTAGCTCTGTGATGTATAACCTTTCTTTATTTGAATTATTTCCACAATTTGAGAGTTACCAGTGTTAATGTGATATACAGGGTGGGCCATTTATATGGATACAATTCCATTTTATTACAGTGTATCCATATAAATGGCCCACCCTGTAGTTAGGAAACTGCAAGCTCACAGTGGCATAATATAAGTTAATGCTTAGTTATATAAACAGTATTTGGAGGTAGAGCATGCTGACCATTGCTTAGATGTCTTAATTCATCTGCTGTATAAAGACCTTGACTATCTTTAGCAGGACTATGATATAAGAAATTAAGTGGGTTGGTACCAAATTATTGATGGAAGTGATTGCCAATGAGACTGGAGAATACAGGGAGTGCAGAATTATTAGGCAAATGAGTATTTTGTCCACATCATCCTCTTCATGCATGTTGTCTTACTCCAAGCTGTATAGGCTC